GGATGCTTTGCTGCGGACAGAGACCCAAAGGAGCCTGGACCATTTTTGGGACTGAGGCCAGGAATAGCACAGATGCCAGCTGCATGGACGGAGGCTACTGAGCAATTCCTTATACAGTAACTTGCATTTGTTGAGTAAATTTTTTGGTGATAGAGAGGAATGTGAAAGGAGCTGTACTACTCAACGCGCTGATTTCTTATTGCTGCAGGTTCCACTCGAGTTTGAAACTCCTTTCTCCTCTGGGAGGAATCCTTTCAAGCTTTCTACATAACTAATACTCTTTTTCACACACTGAGCTGACGTTTGTGTGGCTTAGGGGGACAGTTTGGAAGGTTTGGGGGGTGGTGAGGTTTGTTGATGGGATGAGCTCACTGGAAAACTGGTAGCTGGGATGTTGGTTCTGGATTTTGTCAGCAGCAGGAGGGCTCTAAATAACAATGCTGCACTGCAAGTGCAAGGGACTATAAGTTGAATTTCTGAGCAGGCATTTGCAAAGAGATTACTTGAATTTTACAACTTACTTAAGATTCAATCTGTGGTTCATTGAGACCATGCAATAACTGAACCTCACCTAATCAAAGGTGCTGGCATCAAAATGATGCCTTACTATATTACTGGGAAAGCAGCCATGATGAGCACAGGAGGAGTTCAAGAAGTAGGATAGGGCTATCCTGCTGTCATTGGCCAAATCATAGGAACAGAGCGAAAAGGAGCAGGAGTACACCATTTGGCCCTTAGAGCCTGTTTCACTGTTTTTTCATATGACATGGCTGATCTTCTACATCAGTGCCTCTTTCTCACAATATTCCTGTGGGTTTTTTCAATGGTTAGTGCAGAGGAGGTGCTGCATTCATGACAAGAATGGGCAAAGAGGGCATTAGCACATTGAGAAGAGAGTGGCAAAGGAAAGGGAACAAAAGGAGGGTCCTTAATCAAAGTTCGAAGCACAGGAGGAGGCAGCACCAATGGGCATGGATCGCATACAGGCAGACTTTGCTGCACAGTGACACTCAGAACATCAGGGGCCAGTGCCATCTGGGGAGTGATGCTAAGAAGGATCTATCCATTGCTGAGACTGTACCTGACTCAATAACTTGTAAAGGTCAGAACACCACAGTCAACAATGTCTTTGGAGGTGTTGTCATTGAATTATATGCCATGTTGCTGGGTGAGCTAAAATCCAGGGGCTTCACTGGACATCCAATGGCCCTGCAGATTACTGTGACACTCTGCTTTTATGCATTTGGATCTTTCCCGGGATATCTTGGGACATTGGCGATGTCTTCCTGTCTGGAAGTCAGTCCTTTACTGCATCAAAAAGGTGTCCAATGGCTTGTTTAGTAAAACTCTAGATTGTGTGCACCAACAAATTGACTCTGACAGTGAGGCAGAGAGAACTATTTGCTTCAACGCTAATTCTGGATTTCCCCAGATGAGATGTCAGCAATTGTACACTTGTCAAGGCTACCACAGAGCATAGTGGCCTTCAGCAACAGGACTGTGACAACCAAAAACACTTCTAGGTGCTGCATGCTCTGTTCCCAGGAAGCTCTTTCTAGTGTTACAGCTTTTCCAGTCCCTGCTGGCCTTCATTGATTGATGTTCAGGATCTAAGACAAGGCAGCTCATTCCCGTGAAGAACCAACAGAGGTCCAATACCTGCTTTGGGGCTATTGAAAATGAGCTGGCACTGCCTCAATCAGTTTAGTAGAGCTTTGCACTGAGCTCCAGCAGGCTTGATTATTGTGAGAGTCTGCTGTGCACCCCACAATCAGCACTGTGGGGATTGGGAAGGGCTTTGCATCAGGACAACATGACAAGTTGTCAGTCTTCATTCAACAAGGGAATGTGAGAGAGAATGCTGAGCAGGCAGTGCAGGGTGAGAAAGCCTTTGAACTGTGGGAAATGGGCACTGACTGACACACAGGGGAAGCTCAGAACAATCTGATACATACCTGCTTACTGCCATCATAATCCACTTCCTAGTGGATTAAGACTAACCTCAATAAATATCACCTGCATAATGTCTAGTGTGCCAGTTTGCCTCACACACTTGCAGAGGTGAGATGGTAAACAAATGTGACATGCCTCCATACTGACATCCCTTTGAGGAACCTGAATGAAGTTAGTGTCTAACAAGGAATGGAAGAAAGCATGAGAGGTTTGCCACAATGAAATAGATCTCCCATTGTTTAATGTCTTGGAACAACCAATAGCAAGACATAGTCATCAACACATGTGAGACCTCAAGTGTATCTAGGCATCTTTCACATTCTTCGGCTTCTCCTTGGAGATGCTGCTGTACACCCACAGATCCTGCTAAATGTGATACTGTGTAGTTTGGAATGAGTTTGGTGGATCTCCTCTGACTGCCTGAGATCCGTGTGCAGCAGTGGCTTTGGGAAGCAGAAACCGATGCATTGTCAAGCCAATGGACATGCACAAAACCTATCCGTGACTACACAGCCATGAAGCTTACAGGGAATGTTGGTCACCAGCTGTCTGGGGGCTCTGCACTGGAAAGGGACCCTCCTAAGTTATCGCAATTGTGAGATCTGGGGTCTCCGTAGTGCTGAGGATTTACTGTCCAGAATTAGAATGCCCTGACAGAAAGTCCCAATGTGGAGGACAGCCACTTCTCAGCCCTTTCGCTGCCAACCTGAGAAGCACGAGAACCCAATAGAGCCTTGCTGCTGTTGTGCTGAACTCATAAACAAAGAGATGGTGCTCAGATCTTTATGTGTTTATTGCAAACCTCTTGGTTAAGGAAGCTATTTGCTCATCTCCCGGAAACTTTTGGCACCCCTCATAGCCTGGATGGACTTCCCCATTGTATGCTCATGGTTGTACATAGACCATGGACAGCATGCCATACATTCCCTCACATTTCACTGAAACTCCAACGTTTTGATAAGCCCCAACACATCACATGAATTGTGCTCTACAGGGAACTTACACTTTGGCGGGGTGGGGGGAGGGTGCAGTTGGGGTGGAGAAGGGGGGTGGGGCAGGCTTCACCCAAACCCAGTAACTTCTCTGATGCTAAAAATTAATAATAATTTGAATAAAAAAATGTGGTTCTGGATTGCTCATTATAAAATCTGATACCCTTCAAATCAGGTACACATTCAGTTGAAATCTTACCTTGCTGCTGGAGAGGTTGCACTCTTGTAACAGGTCTTTGTAAATTCATGTCATTGCTGTGTCTCAAGAAACCAGTGTTGATGAATAGACTAATCTTTATACATCACAGGAATCAGAGGCCAACTATTGTTATACAAGAATTTATCATATATGGCTGGCTTGTGGCTAAGCAGAGAGCACTTTTGAAGGTGATCTGCTTTTCTAAATTCAAAAATATAGACCAGCCTCCCTCCTTCCATCCTAATGGGGTCTTATAATGTTATAATTTATATCATAAAAGCATTACAACTGCAAAAAAAATCCAAAACCAAGTCGCAAACTTGGCAATAGCAACAAATATCTCAGCCACTGTTGCAAAGAGGATAGTGCAACATTAGTGGCTATATTGCTTTAAGAGTGATATCCCTTTAAGATGCTCAACATGCAGATGAGCCAAGTCCCAGGATACGACCACATGACCAAAGGACAGTACCACGCTATATTGTAACAATCCAGGCAAAGGATTTGTCTGGAGGTTACGCTGCACTGTCTGTACTAAATTAAGTGTACATGAACCCACCAGAAATTGAGACATAAAGGGAATCCCACTTACTTCATTTGTGCTACAACTTGAACAAGACACACTTTAATACTGGGATAGCAGGAACTGCCGATGCTGGAGAATCTGAGATAACAAGGTGTAGAGCTGGATGAACACAGCAGGCCAAACAGCACCAGAGGAGCAGGAAAGCTGACGTTTCAGGTCTGGACCCTTCTTCAGAAATGGGGGAGGGGAAGGGGATTCTGAAATATATAGAGAGAGAGGGGGAGGCAGATGGAAGATGGATAAAGGAGCAGATAGATGGAGAGGAGACAGACAGGTCAAAGAGGCGGGGTTGGAGCCAGTAAAGGTGAGTGTAGGTGGGGAGTTAGGGAGGGGATAGGTCAGTCCAGGGAAGACTGACAGGTCAAGGAGGCGGAAATGAGGCTGGTATGTAGGAGGTGGAGGTGGGGCTTGAGGTGGGGGGAGGGGATAGGTGGGAGAAAGGACAGACAGGTTAGGGAGGAGGGGACGAGCTGAGCTGGTTATGGGATGTGGTCGAGGGAGGGGAGCTTCAAAATCTCCCCTCCTTTAATCTGCTCCTTTAATCCATCTTTCATCCGCCTCCCCCTCTCTGTCTATTTATTTCAGAATCCCCTTCCCCTCCCCCAATTCTGAAGAAGGGTCCAGACCCGAAACGTCACCTTTCCTGCTTCTCTGATGCTGCTTGGCCTGCTGTGTTCATCCAGCTCTACACCTTGTTATCTCACATTTTACTACTGGCTGGTTTGAAGTCTACTTAAAGCCTATTCACTATAGGCACTCAGTGACATCAAGCATTTAAAAATATCAACCACTATACCAAATTGATCACTTTTTCCCTTTAGGTTTACAAGTTGCTGCAATCCTAGGGGCATGACATGTATTTTCTGGCGACACTAATATTTATTGCTGATCGGCAATTCTTCCTGAATTTGGATCTTCATTTATCTGCAAAGTTTTAATTGTTGGAAAACCTCTTCATCACGCAGGGATATCCATGGTGATCTAATTTATGTAGTAATTTGATTTTTAAAAATACAGTATTACAAACACATTTTTGAAGAGAACACCATTTTTGTTTCCAAAATAAGAAATGTGACATGCGGAGTTTAATTTCTGACAGGTTTAGAAGTTCAGAAGTTCAGACATACTCTTTTAGTGAGTATACAAAGAGAGTGGCTAAAAAAAAGATTTCCCAAAATAGAGCGATCATCTGCAGTTAATTATTCTGAGTTTGGAATGCTCCTTATGTTGCTGTCAGTCAAAATCAAAGCACTTTTTCTTTACCTTTCAGAGGAAGATGGCGATACACAGAGTTTGGATTTATGTTTCTGCAGGCAAGTTTTCAGTGTTTTTACAGGATTTTCCATTCATGCTTGAAACATTCTACCTTTACATTAGAAAATACAGATCAAAATGAGTTTGTTTTATCTGGCAACTTAACATTTCTGTTTTTATGAACCATTGCTTCAGTTTCTGAACAGAGTATATAAATCAGTACTGTCCTTGAAATAACATTTGAATTCAATCCAAAATTATAAAAACTTGATGAAGCATTTTCCTGTATTTAACATTACTAAAGTTTATTTTAATCAGATAGACTTTGAGTAGTTGAGCAGGATGTGTTGTACAAAAAATTATATCAGGAGGGTTTTTTCTTTTAAAAATGCTATTATTAAATTGCCATGGTTGCATTATGTTCAATGTATTTATAGTGAAATTTGACAAGGAAACTACTTGGGAAAAAATAGTGCTTGTTCCATAATAAAGTCTTAAACTACAGTATTAGCCAAAGTCCTGATCAAGATGTAACATTTACCAACAGAAGAGAACACAACATAATTTGCAAATGAAATGGTTTAGTTTAGATGATCTAATCAAAGTGATACCATATATTTTGAAAAATACTTATCCCTGTGTTGTGGCAACTTTAATATCTGTACAGTTAATCTTTAGATTGCTGTACCACCTGAGATAGATTACCTTTTTAACAAACAAAAATAATTAGCAGGTGTTTTAAGTCCTGAATAGTGAGTGGTGAAGGCAGATGTGTGGGAAAATTCATAGCACCAGCCCAGTATTAGTTTGGTGGCTACATCCCACCCCTGGGCAATTTGCCTCTTGGCAGGATTGATGTTGGCTGGGCTACCTATCAATAAAAGATGAGTACTCAATTAACTATAATTAAAGTCATCTTAAGATCCATTGTTGGAGGCTTAGTGGAAGATTCTAGTGGCGCCCAGGGGCATTGAGAACCAGGCTCGCTGTCAAGAGATAACAAGGTGCAGAGCTGGATGAACACAGCAGGCCAACCAGAGGAGCAGGAAGGCTGACGTTTCGGGCCTAGACCCTTCATCAGAAATGCTGTCAAGGGGCAGTTTCTGGCAGTTGACTGGGTGATCAGCAGATTCTGAGCCTTTCACAACCTGTCTGTGTCCATTGTGGTCTCAAGCGGCCTGGTGAAAAGGCTCTCCCTCCACAATGGTAAACTACCATGGTTCCTGAAGACATTTTTAAGATTTTTAAATGTTAATAAGTTTGAGAGAGGGTGCCTTCAAAGTGAAGCCTACTGTATATTCCTTAACTGAAATGTCAGGCTTCGTCTGTTCCAATGCTGGAGGGCTTCAAGAGTCCACTGACTGTCATTAACTGAACAGCAGGCCTGCTCTTTGGCCCCTAATTGACAAATTCAGGGAGTATCATTGCTGAATGCCTTGTTACCCACACAATGCAGGATTCAGGCCACCATATGACCCTCACATCGTGGTCCTGACCCACTGGGGATAGAAAACCGAGGAAATAGTTTTAAGTTTGTACTTGACACAGCCCAGGCCAGTTGGACAATTGTCAGCAGTTCTCAGAGCTCTGTTTTAAGAATAAGTATTAGGACTCTGACTGCTATTGTCAACAGCGTGTTTACATAGCTGCTCCAGAGCCATAGAGCCATATAGTTGTACAGCATGGAAAACAGACCCTTTGATCCAACCCGTCCATGTCGAATATAATCCAAAACTGTTCAGTTTCTAGTCAATGGTAATCCCTAAGACAACACTAGTGGAGAATTCAGTGATTGTGATACCATTTAATGTTAAGCAGAGATGGTTTAGTTCTCTCTTCCTGAAGATGGTCATTCATTGGCACTTGTATGGTTGAACTGTTACTTGCTACTTAGCAGTTCCAGTTTGGATGTTGTCCAGAATTTGCTGCATATGGACATGGACCACTTCAGGTGTGAGGAGCTGCAAATGTTGCTGAATATTGTGCGATCATCAGTAAATATTCCCACTTCTGACCTTATCATGGAAGGATAGTCATTGATGAAACAGCTGAAGAAGGCTGGGCCTAGGGTGCTACCCTGAGGAACTCACGCATTGATGTCTCTGAATTGAGAGGTTTAACCTTAAATAAGCGAATGATAGAAAATAAAATGATAAATTAGGAGCTAAGCAAGTTGAATTTGTCTTATTATTTACGGGCAGTAAATGCATGAGCAATTTTCCATACTGCTGGGTGGATGCCGGTGTTGCACCTATATTGAAACAGCCTGCAAGGGGAAAAGCAAATTTTGCAGTGCAAATCTTCAGTACCATTGCCAGAATTTTGTCAGGGCCTATAAATGTTCCTTTGTAGCCTCTATGCATCATCCTCACAACTTGTTGTCTTGCCGACTAAAATACTGTTAATGAATCTAGTTACAATAGAGTCGATCCCTTAATCGAAGCCATTAATATAGCAGACTGTAAATAATTGAGGCCCTAGCACTGACATCATTCCTCATTACTTGAAAGATAGAAAGCCATATCTAAATTCACTTTACTGCAAATTCTATGATTTTTTGACCTACTTATTCCTTAGCTTTTAAAACTTCTAGGCTTTCCTATTTCTGGCTTTCAGAGCTTAGTTTTTCACTGTAGTGAGTCTGTCACTGTTGTGTTGAACGTTTTTTTTTTGGGATGTTTTCTTTTGCTGGTTTCTTCTTTGTTGCGTGTCTTTACTTTCTTCTGTTAATTGTTGCTGGTTTTCTTTACAATATAAAACTTTGCAGAGTGTTTATCCAAAGAGAACAAGCAGAAGAGAAAATTTACTTTATTGAGCTGACATCAAATTGTATTGTTTGTAATGAGGTCGGCCAGGCGGACCTCATAGAATGCGGGTTCCCTGATTGGACCAATTTAACAGCACAATCAGGGAACCCTGGCTGACAAATATAAACAAGAGTGTCAGAGCTTATGTTCATTCTGAGACCTGGCTCCTAGGAAGTTGGATCACTGTCAAGGATGCTCCACGTGTAAATAAAGAGTGACTTGGTGAAAGGATACCGGCCTCTGTAGAGTTATTTCAGTAGCAATGAGAGAAAAGCATGCTCCTGAAGAAATTCACTTGCAACAGTTATCTATGAGTTGGGGTAAGCATTTCTGGCATTGTGCCTGTATTTGGGAAGCTTCACTCGGTTGATCCTGCCGTTGAGGACTTGGCCCAGTATGTGGAAAGAATTTGTCTTTTTTGGGGCAAATAACGTTGGGGCAAAAGAAAAGCAATGAGTAATTCTCCTGACAGCTTATGGACCCACGCCTTTCTCAGTTATTAGGAACTTTCTCTGAAGCACTAGATACTAAAACCTTTCAAGAGTTGATGAATTTAGTTAAGGAATATTATGACCCCTGTCTTATCTAATTCTGAGATGCTATCGGTTTTACTTGGCAATTCAAGAACCAAGGGAATCTGTATTGGGATTTTTGATGAGGCTAAGATAACTGAGAGGGGCATGTGACTTTGGTTTAACCCTTAATGAGATGCTGAAAGAATGTTTGTTTGGTATGTGGCATTAATGATGTGACCATACAAAAGCACCTACCAGCTAAAGCCCAACTGGACTTGAAAGAGGCAACTCTCTTTGTCATTAGAAAATGCAGCAAGTGAAGCATTTGAGTTGCAGGGTATTCTGATGGAAGTGGACATCCTGGCCAGTCCGACAGAGCTGGGGGACCACCACTTGAGTGAAGGCAATTGCATAGCCTCACTTAAGACATAACCTGAACAGAGGGACACTGGGTCAGCCCACAGCAAAACCACAAAACAGAGCTAAGCCTTGGCCAAATGGTTAAAATTTTCTTCAGATTCCAAGCTGGCAAGCCATCATGGTTGCTGCTGGTATGCAGACTCGAGACAGCAAGAGTCCCACTACACCGAAATGGAGTAAGATAAGTCACAGGCCAATATCCAGGAGAAGGCACACCCTTGAAAGTCCACCTGCATGTGGTTTGGAACAGTTAAATAGCTTGGCAACATCCAGATTGGAACCAATCAAAATAAACATCTGATTAAATGGTCACCTGCTTCTAATGGAGGTCGATACTGGCGCAGCCATTTCAGTGATCACAGAAGCAAAATTTGCTCTGGACTTCAACCCTTAAGTTTGTGCAAGACCTTGGCAGACTGAGAACTGGAGAACCTTTACAGATGAAGGGTACAACTTCAGTTCTGATCTCTTATGAGAAGTGGCTGCTTCAGTTATCACTGATTGTGGTAAAAGGCTTGGGCCCAAGATTGATGGGGTGAAATTGTTTGAGAAAGATTCACACAGATTGGCTCAACATTTTTCATTTAGAAAATGGCTGCCTGAGTGAAGTATTAATTAAATACCTAGAAGATTTTTAGGGAGGTCCAGGGACCATCAAAGGAGCCAAGTCCACCTTGCATGTTGACCAAGAAGCAATTCCATGATTCTGAAAGACCCAACCAGTGCTATTTGCCTTATGGGCAAAAGTAGAGGCAGAAATCAGGAGGCTGGAAATAGAAGGAATCTTCAGACCAGTCCAGTTTGCAGAATGGGTAGCACTTGTCATACCAATTGTGAAGCCTGAGGGCTCGGTTTGCCTTTGTGGAGATTTTAAACAAACAGTAAACCAGTTTTTTTTTTTGCAGCTGGATAGATATGCAATGCCTCACATAGAGGATTTATACACAAAGCTGGCAGAGGGCTATCCTTCATAAAGCTGGTCATGAGACATGCATACTTTCAATTGCAGTTAGATAGGGATTCCCAGAAATATGCTATAATTAATACCCGTCAGGATTTGTACCAATATACGAGTCTGCCTTTGGGGTATCATCAGCCTGAGTAATTTTTCATTGGATGATGGAGAACATTTTAAAAGGTCTACCCCAGGTCACCATTTATCTAGATGATGTGCTAATAACCAGGAAGAACAATAAGGAGCACTTAGAGAATATGGAAATAGTCCTTAGACATTTCTCCCAGGTAGGTGTAAGCCTTAGAAGGGAAAAATGTGTGTTCCAGGCACCCCAAGTGACTGTAGTGTGCTACAGCATTGACAAGACTGTGTTACACCCATAGGAAGATAAAGTGAGGGTGATCAAAGGTGCCTAGGTTCCCATGTCTGTACCGGAGTTTAGGTTTTTCCTTGGGCTGGTGAATTATTACAGAAAATTCATACATAATCAGGCCTCCATCCTAGTACCTTTGGATCAACTCTTAAAAAAGGGTCAGCCTTGGAAATGGTCATGTAGCCAAGCCATAGCTTTCAGGGAAGTGAAGAAACAGCTACCGTCCTCTAAGGTGTTGGCACACTATGATCCCAAGCGAGATCTGGTATTTTTGACATGTGATGCCTCCCAGTATGGCATCGGGGTAGTATTAGCTCATGGGTAGCCCAATTGAGAGGAACGCTCTATAGTGTATGTATCCAGGACTTTAGCTAATGCAGAGTGTAAATATGTCCAGATAGAGAACAAAGGTTTGGTGGTCATTATTGGAATCTGGAAGTTCCACCAATACCTTTATTGGACGTAAATTTGTAATAATAATAATAGACCAGAAACTCTTGTTAGGTCTAGTTAATGAGGACTTGGCAGTGCCGCCCATAGCTTCAGGCCGAATTTACCGATATGCTCTAATAACAAGTCTGTATAATTACAAGTTGGAACAGCACCCAGGAGGCCAAATAGCAAACACGAATACACTGAGTTGCCTCTCGCTGGCAAATACCCCACCGGTGATACCACCACTGGAAGAGTCCGTCATGGTTTTAAATTTTCTGGACACACTTCCAGTCACAGCTGACAATATCAGACTTTGGGCACAGAAAGATCCCGTCCTGGCAAAACTGAAATAGCTAGTGGTGATGGGGAAAACCAAAGGGCCATCACAACCAGAACTGAAACCTTTTTGGACTCAGAGAGACCAGATCACAATAGAGGATGTCATAGTATTATGGGGAGCAAGAGTGACTAGCCTTGAGCAAAGGTCATTGCTGAACTCCATCAGGGTCATCCAGGGGTTTCCAAAATTAACATATTGGTGAAAAGTTATGTCTGGTGGCTAGGATTGGATGCAGATATATCCATGCTAGTAGGCAGTGCCCAGAGTGCCAACAAGGACAAAAATTACCTCCAGCAGCTCCCCAACATCTGTTAGAATGGCTGGGTAAATCCTGGACTTGGTCACACGTCGACTATGCAAGTCCTTTCATGGGCTCAGTGTTCTTGGTCTTTGTGGATGCCCACTCAAAGTGGCTGGACATGCATAAAGTTCATTCGTCGAACGCAGGGAAAAACAGGGTGCATCTTTTGCAATACACAAACTCCTGGAAATGTTGGTCACAGTCATGGGCCATCGTTTACTAGCAGGGAATTTGAGTATTTCCTAAATTTGAATGGCATTTGTCATATAAACACAGCTCTATATCACCCAGCACCCAATGGTCTGGCAGAAAGAGCAGTTCAAACTTTGAAGGCAGGATTAAAGAAATACCCGACAGTGTCCACCAGATACCAAACTGTCCTGGTTCCTATTTGATTATAGGACCACCCCTTGTGCAATTACAGGGGTAGCTCCAGCAGAGTTGCTAATGGGGAGAAGACTCCACACCAGGTTAAATCTGATCTTCCCAAACACAGGGCAAGGGTGAAACAGCAGCAGGGATGCCAATGCTGGACATGAGATTACACTAAGACAGAAAGACAGGGGATGAAGTTTGATGACGGAATTGGGGGAATGGCCCTGCATGAGTAAGAGGTGTGATCGACGCGAAGTCAGCTCCAGTAATGCATAAAATGCAGGTAGATTTGATGGTCCTGAACAACCATGTGGACCATATGAAAGCTGCAAAATTGCAAATGGTGCAGGAGCAAAATGTACCCAGCTCCTCCACTGCCTTTCTGACTGTTCCAGAATCTGTGGGTTCTCCTTCTCTGTCAATTGTTGAAGATACCTCAGAATCTAAAATGGACACAGTGGATGTTGCCTTCTCGATGCCTTTACTGCCTGAAGAAGAGAATGAATTTCTTCTGAGGCACTCTGGACGCAAGAGGTGAGCTATTGAGTGTTACATGCTGCCCATATGAGAGGGAGAGTTGGAGGAACCTGACCCAATGCTAAAACACCCCAGAAGGAACTACAAAAAAAAGGAACTGGCCTATGTCTTCGGACTCAGAGTGAGAAGGATGTAGTGATTGTAACAAGGTCAGCCTGGTGGACCTCATAGAATATGAGTTCTCTGATTGGGACTGTTAATCTGGTCAAATGAGGGAGCCCTGGCTGACAGATACAAATAGGGGTTCTATTCACTCTGAGAGCTGCCTCTGAGGGGGCTGGATTGGTGTCAAGGACTTCCCACATGTAAATAAAGTGTCACTTGGTGACGAGATACTGGCCTCTGTGAAAGTCGCTATTTCACAAACTATCGAGATGTGTCTTGCTTACACCAATAATTGCAGAACGTGTCTCCTCAGGGCAGGCCATACAGTGTAGGTTGCAGGGTTTCCATCTATTTCTCATTCCCTGGTGTGGACAGTTCATCCTTTAAGAATAAGACATACACTTTAAATATTTGGATTCATTATGAATTGCAACTTAGGACCCAAACCAGCTTGTGTGCATGAAAGGGGAACTCTTTCTTTACGCCTGCCATTAAAAACAAGCTGCAACACTACTTCTATAATTTCAAGTTCAAAATTAAGGCACAATTTACATTTACCATTTACTAATGTTCATTTATCAATGCAAATACATCATAATTAAATCCAATTAACATGTGATCCATTTAGTACACTACAGGTGATCTTGTTTCTCAGTTGGTCTTACTCCTGCTGCTTCTGAGCAAAAAGTTCTGAGTTCAAATCCCACTCCTGGACTTGTTGAGACTGGAAGGAGGGATCTTTCATGATGTGGTTCAACAAATGGATAAGCAGTCTTCTAAACTTTGCAATATTTCTCCTAAAAGGAAAAAATAAGTGGATAAGCTAACAAACTATGTTAGTTGATCTACCAGTCTCTGTAAATGTATTTTCCCAATCTACAATAATATCAATGTAAGTGTGACAAGTTTTGACATGAGAATTAACTGCATTTTCTGTGGTCAGGCTAATTATTAACAGTTGGGGAGGGGGGGGGAGTGTGGTGAGGAGGTAGATTCATGAGGTGACAGGGCATGCGGCAGCTGTTGCAACTTAATGGAGAGATCAATGAGTAAGACAACCTATTTTTAATTCGTTATCAAATTCCCTTCATAGATTGCATCCACCTCTTTGCCCCAAATAAGCTTCCAGAATCTTTCTATACCTCTGGCAATGCTGAGTGCCTGGTTATTGTAACCATAATTTATATATAGCGCTATTATTTTCTTCGTTCATAAGATGTGGGCATCCCTAGCTCAGCCAGCATTTAACACCCAGCCCTAATTGTCCCGCAGAAAATTGCTGTAAATCCAAAGTCACATGTTGACAAGACCATTTAATAATGACATTCTTCCTTTCCTGGAGGACATTTGTCCTTTCTTTAGTGAATTAATGAACCAGATGGGTTTTTACAACAATCGACAGTGATTATGCAGTGGCCATCAGGCTAGCTTTGTATTCCAAGTTTATGTTGAATTCAAATTTCACCATCTGCCATGGCAGGATTCAAGCTCATGTCCCCAGAACATTAGCCTGGGGTTCTGTCGAGTGGCATCATCAGTAGGGCACTGCCTTTGTGCTGGTACTGAAGCATTAATGCAGGAAGAATTGTGCATTTTGCCATTATTGAGGCATGCCAAACCTCTTTGCACAGTAACGTCTGATGCCCATTTAAAATGACACTGGAAGATCACGACAGTATGTGAACTGAGCAGAGATTTAGCAGGAGATAGTAAGAACCGCTGATGCTGGAGTCAGAGATCACGCAGTGTGGAGCTGGAGGAACACAGCAGGCCAGGCAGCATCAGAGGAACAGGAAAGTTGATGTTTCAGGTCGGGACCCTTCTTCAGAAATGGGGGCATTCACTGGTGGTGTAGTGGTTAGATTCGGCGCTTTCACTGCCACAGCCTGGGTTCGATTCTCAGTCAGGGAATAGAAGTTCTATTGTAGAGATTTAGCAGGATGTGTTTTTGCCCAGTTTCCTGCCGTCAACAAGTATACGAGTGAATTAACAGAACAGGAGAGGAAAATCATCCTTACATATTATAATTTTCAAACTCTAACATGACACATTGTACTTCATTTATGGCACATTTTTCTTAGCACAATTAGAGGCTGATGGTGGGGTAGAGGTCATGTCACTGAAATAACAATCCAGTGGTCTAGGTTAATGCCCTAGGTTAATACTCAGTGATATCCATCATCGCAATTGGTGGAATTTAAATGCAAATTATAGATCTTTTAAAAAGCTTGATTTGGAAATTAGTTTCAGTAATGGTAACCATGAATGGTAGCATTCACTATCAAAACAAAACCTACCCAGTCCACTAATAGAAGTCTGCCATCCTGACTTGATCTGGCAGATACGTGACTCCAAATCCAGAGTAATGTTGCTGACTCTTAATTGTCCTCAGAAATGGCCTCAACAAAAAGTCATTCAATTCAAGGGCAAATGGGGAAAGGCAGCAAATGCTGACCTTGTCAGTGATACCGACATCCTGCGAGAGAAATGTCGTTACAGTACACTCTGAATTAAAACAAAAGTGTCACTCCAAATCAGTTTCAGAAAATTATTTGAATTACATTTGTTTGATTGATTTGTTTTACTTTTCAGCACTCCTCACTACAATAAGTTCCATATTTGCTGATCAGACTGTGAAACCTATTGTAGGGGTTTTATTTCTCCATGTGTTGGAGAGGGGTCACTATCAAGAAGGATTTCAATCCTTCCAGGAAGCTAAGGGTAAGCAAAGCAATTCTACTTAATGTTTCTTTGATGTCATATTTATGCTCCAAGTTTACCATTGATGTAGAAATTTCAACTGTGCAGTGATGATGAACTGGCAGTATATATATCGAGAGATGGAGTCAAACAGGACTGTCTAAAAGAGGTGCTGCAATATTTGAGTTTATATTTAATGTGGTATTAAAATTGGCTTGCAAAAACCTCTGAGGCTTGTTACATATTTTGTAAACTGACCTGACCACAATATGAATATTGGACTTTTCCTTCTGTCTCTGGGAAGATAGCTTTGATATTGCAGCCGCACAGGCATTCATAGAGCTATCTCCTAAAGAGGAAAGTTACATTTGAAGCCAAATAGATAACAAGCAACGTAAACAAAGTTCTATCTGCTTGGAAATGGCAGGCTGAAATTGGAAGCTCCAATGTAAATGTATCCTTTATGTGTGGTAACAAATACACCGCTACACAAGATACAGCACTTATGATAAGATTGGGTATAAACAATTGGAGCACAGCATTAAGTGAATTTCTGGTTGCATTTGCAAAAATATTTTCAAAGTTTCAATGCTCAAATTTTTAAAAACAACTTTTCCAGAGACTCTGTTCTGTAGTAAAAGGACCAATGTTGTCTTCAATCTGACTCAATTCTAAGTGGTTAAGCACTGATGCAAATTGTATCTGACAGTTCAAGTGTAAATAACACTCAGTTTTCCAGTGTATGTAGATTTGTGTAATCATTCATGGCAACATATTCAGCCTCTGATGTGTCTACTGGGTCCAGACAAGAAGAGATGGGAAATTTAGATAAAATCAGTTTAAATGGGAGAGATTCATTATAATTGGAAAGCCTCAGGGATATCTTTGCCATGCTTGTAAAGATAGATTATTAAGATGCAGCAGGCAAAGATGAAGACAAAGGGTAACTGAGATGCAAAGTTGAGTCTGAGGACATGTGAAAACTAGCCCAACACATTGTCCTAATTACAGATTTCAGATGTTGTGATGGTGTTGTTTTGCGGCAATGCCACTCTTTCATTCACCTGGGTCAAAGTTACCAAAACAGATTCAGTGAAGTTTCTACCTGTAGATAACTATCACTTCACTGTTTCCCCATTCTGCTTGGTGACTGTAGACCCTGAAACATTAAGAGGACATGGAGCTCCACTTATTTCTTATCATTTTTTATAATTTGAAACAGTTTCTGATTTGAAGAAATTAAATTTAATTGCCACAACTCTAAGATAAAAGGTGATAAATCTAAGATAGTCATTAATAAATCTAATTTGGAATTCATGAGAAACTTCTTTCTTGGTTCGTAAGAAAGTAAAATTTGTTCCCAGAAGGAGCCATTGAGAAGAGTTGCACAGATGCAGTTAAGGTGAAATTAGGTAAACGCACGAAAGAAACAAACTGAAGGCTATGACAAGGTGGGTAGGTGCAGAGCCGGAGGAAGGAGCTCATGTGGAGTATAAACACCGAATGCAACCAGTTAGGCTGAAATGCCAATTTCTGTGCCGTACATTCTATGTCCTCTTATATATCACAGGATCCTCCTGACAACAGTGAAAGGTAGATATGAATTTGATACCTTTAAATAATCATTTTTGCTACAGAAGAAACTTCCTTTCGTTATTATGGAGATCAACAGTAAAATTGCCATTTACTTCTCAGTTCAATCTCAACTCTCTATTTTAGGTATAGTTACCAATAGTTCTATTACATTCAGTGCGAATCTCGATGATCATCCTGATCGGCCACGGTGGCTTCGCCTCACACAACGGACTGCGTACCATGATGGAATGCTTTATGGCACACCAACTTTGGAAGACATTGGACAGAGAATAATTAAAGTAATATATTTCTGTTCATGCACCAGAAACTACCTTAACATTTTCATAATATATATATAATTATCAGTAAAATCTTCACAGTCTAAATATGCTGTCTTGCCAAGATGGCTAACTGGCAGGTGGGCCTTTTAACTGTTGACATGAAATTGCCATGCACATGCAAATATAACAGGAGTTGTCAATTTCTTGGCATTGATTCAGTGTCCTGTCTTTAGATAAAAATGGCAGTTACAGGATAGACAGCGACATTTATTCCATATACATCTCCCAAAGCTTGCCACAATACAAGAATACAATTACCATATATTTTAGTGAAACTAAGAAAATTAAATGTTTTTGATCTAAATTAATTTTCTACATGCTGTTTGTAAAATTATATTTAATGCAATAGGATTTTTTTCACATTGACATTTTTCTCTTAACAGTTTAAATGTTTTTTAATGTTTAATTAATAGTGACAAAGAAAACAAAATGTCAGCTGTAATTATAATTAAAAACAAATCCCGAATTTGTGCTGCATGTTGGGCTGCTTTCCTATTTTCTTTCATTATTTTAAACACAAACTACAATTGTATCAACTGCAAAGACAAAGATTTTTGTCTTTGGAAGATAAAGTCACAGAGTTGTATAGCACGGAAACAGACCCTTTAATCCAACTTTTCCGTGCTGACCAAAAATCCTGAACAGATCTAATTCCATTGGCCAGCATTTAGCCCATATCCATCTAAATCCCTCCTATTCATGTACTCATCTAGACGCCTTTTAAATGTTCTAATTGTACCAGCCTCTACCACTTCCTTTGGCAGCTCATTCCATACATACACCACCATTTGCATGAAAAAGTTGCCCCTCCGATCCCTTTTAAATCTTTTCCCTCTCACCTTAAACCTATGCCCTCTAGTTTTGGACTCCCCTACTCTGGGGAAAAGACCTTGGCTATTCACCCTATCCATGCCCCTATGATTTTTCAACCTCTCTATTGATGCTCCAGGGAAAAAAGCCCCAGGCTATTCAGCCTCTCCCTACACCTCAAACCCTCCAATTCTGGCCACATCCTTGTAAATCTTTTCTGAATCCTTTCAAGTTTAACAGCATCCTTCCGATAGCAGGGAGTCCAGAACTGAACATGCCAAGAATTTTCAACTTGAAAGACAGAGCAGGTAGCCGGTGAATTCATCACAACTTGCTCTACAGGACCTTTCTGAGCACCAGGCACAAACATCACAGAGCATGCTCCAGCGGCACTGGCCACATGCACCCTATATCCATGGACATTGACGACCTACATGTGCCAGCTTCTAAGACCCTGATAAAACATCTCCAATTCACTTACATTTCTGTACCTCAATGCTGTGTTTTGGAGCACAATGGCAACGATCATTGCAATGCTGCAGCAACAACACTTTGTGCTCAGGAAGACGCATTCAGCTGATAGACTGGACTAAGCTGTACCTATGGACTGTTTGCTTGCTCTCTCAGCACTCAGTCATTTGGAGCCTACCTGGAAGATCACAGCATCCCTGCCTTGTTCAACCAGAAACACCAGGCCCTCAGTACTGCTGTACTATGTGCCATTTAGCACAGATCAAAGCTAGGAAGCATGTCATAGTGTCAGCCATCCCCGTTCAGGTCAAGGAAGCTAGCCTTTGGTCTGTGGATACTGGCACAGTAGGTCAAGGGCAGCCTCCAATACTAGTCCAGGGGCCGGGACAGTAAACTGCTTGGGGCGGTCAGAGGCAGGATTATCTTCTTAAAAGGGGTGAGGAGCTCAATGCCAGGCAGCCCATCACCTGTCATGATTAGTTCTACCACATTATGGTTTATTTTTGCCCTGGAATAAGACAGAAGCAGGTATTAAGGGAGATGAAAGTGAGTGGCAAAGTCATTATTGTTGGTGCAGGTGGGGCAGAGACTACAAAAGGTGTGTTTTGCATATATTTGCTGATTAAATAGATCTTCCTTTTCAGCTAAAACAGGCTACATTAGTGGTCTATTTTAATTTTTCATCCTGCTAATGGGCATTTTATTTATTAGTACCTTGCGATTAGGTTCAAAAAGACGATACAAGCTGTGTTCTGCAGATGCAGGGGAGTTTAAGACACAACCATTCTTTGCGTTAGATGTGAATCATATTCCAAAATAGTGACAACCCACACCTGCAATGGTGGCTCAATTTTATACTTAGTGCATAACTCAGTGTCAATTTTTAATGAGATTTTTGGAGTGTTCAAAGATTGACTTAAATGCTGACATCTATGCAACATTGAAATATGATGATTGGATAAATCCACATTTCTCCGCCAGGCACTAAACATACTGCAAAATATACATAATTTCTGAGGTTAATTGTTATTTCTTTTTGATTAGGTAACTGCATATAATAGAGAAACGTATGAGACAACAAGTCAAAACATCATCATTAATGTTGAACAGATAATAGGTGAGAAGCTACAGCTTTAATTGTTTGCTTGAGGAATGAGAAGTTTGATTGCTTTTGAGAAACAGGTATTTCCTATTATATGCGCAGAGTTCTTTTGAGAAGTTCAGCTTAATGTTGCTATACAATTGTATGCCCACTTTTTTTGGTAATGAGCTTGCTGTTTTTTTGAAATCATGTTGCTACTTCAGTTTCTCATCAAAATTGTGCAGTTCTCTACCAGGTTTTGTCTGGACGGTGGGAATAATCTTTTGAGTACATAACAGTATTGCTCTGATTTTCCATCAACTGATGAGTTTCCTCATTACTGTTGCCTGATCATAAGTCCAAATAGACTCAGAGTCATAGAGATGACGAGCTTGGAAACAGACCCTTCAGTCCTACTCAGCCGTGCTGACCGGATATCCTAGATAAATTTAGTCCCATTTGCCAGCATTTGGTCCATATCCCTCCAAAACCTTCCCATTCATATACATATCCAGATGCCTGTTAAGTGTTGTAATTGTACCGGTCTCCATCACTTCCCCTGGCTGCTCATTCTATACAAGCACCACCCTCTGTGTGAAAAAGTTGCCCCTTAGGCCCCTTTTAAATCTTAATGAATGAATTGTCTTTATTTACAGTGTCAATTTATTAAGAGATCCATTTTATTTTAGACATTGTTTAGTATGATGAGCTATGGAAAATTGCACTTTGAAAAGATAAACAGCACTTTTTTCATGAACATGTCAAAACAAACAAATGATACACATCACTTTGCTTGTATACCAGAAAGTTTGATTTTATATTTTCCCATCAAGATAGTCCCATTGCTCAAAATAGAATTACAGATTATGTTTGAAGAAAATATAGTGTCATTGATAATATCATGACGTTGGACAGCTAATTACTATCTGCAGTAAAAACAGGAAATGGCAACAGTCTCTAGAAATAGCCAGAATTAGCATGAGTGACTAAAGTGCATTATGGCCATGTCAATATGGCATGGTGTTATGGAAAAGAACAAAACTTCTGAAAATATATTGAGAAAATAGTCTAAACCCTTTTTTAAAATTTTAAATATAAGTTGAAGGCGTTGTGTTTCAAATGCAATTCGATTGGTCAAATTACTCAATGTTAAGCAAAACACACTATTTCTACATGACAGTTAAAATACAAAGTAAAAATTAAAGAAAAGAATTGGCTTAACTGTAACTCTATCAAAATGCTTAACTAAATATATATTATTAACTACCACTAATTAACTGTTCCAATATGGTAGCATCTCACAAACACACCCTTGGCAAAGGCAAACTCGGTAAAATAGATTGTCTCACAAACAATTCTAGCAGCGGGAATTCTAGGAGGAGAATCCCAGCTTTTATCTGTAACAGAAAGAGGAATTAGAGCTTCCACATCCAGCTTCAAGACGCTAGCAACTGCTAGTGAAGGCTAAAACAAAAAAAATCCTTGTTCTGTGGGAGATTGACCCCACCCATTCAGACGGTTTCTGTTGTCCTAACTACAAAAATTGACCCCAAGGCCTCACAAGCTGTTTACTTTATTGGCTTAGCACCTCTGTCTCAACCTATCTTCATAAAATAAAAACTAGGACAAAATACACCTCTTGAAACCACTGTATCGTCACAATGGCAAAAGGCAGAGATTACCCTGGGACCCTAACTTCACCCTGTTTATTGTGTCCTCCATTGTGATGACTGATACAAAATGTTGGTTAAATTATCTGTTATTTCCCCAATCTCATCCTCCAGCAGTCCCACGCTGACTTTAGCTGCCCTCTTTCTTTTTATATACCCATAGAAGTTCTTGCTGTTTCTTATTACATTTCTTGGCCATTTACTTTTAGGATTGATTTTCTCCCTTTTTAATCAGCTTTTTAATCATTTTATGCTGTTTTCCAAGAAAATTCCCAATCCTTGGGCCTACCACTAATTTTCCCACTTTGTAAGCTGATTGGATACAGTTTTTAAGCACCCTTTAATCATGGGTGGTTCATCCTTCTCATTAAGTCCTTTTTGACAGGAAAATTTTTTTGTCTAGCTTTATTAAATATCTGCTTAAATGTCTGTCATTGCTCATCCGCTGACTTTCCCCTTAGTCAACTTAGCCAACTCTTTCTTCACACTTCTGTCAATGCCCTTATTTGAGTTGAGGTCTTTGGTTTGAGAATCAAGTTGCTCTACCTCAAACTGAATTTGAAATTCTACTTTGCGATCATAATCCCTTAGAAGATCCTTAATTATGAGATCTTTTATTAATCCTACCTTATTATGTGTTACTACACATTCCTGGGAAGGTCTGATCTCCCATCATATAATACACAGGATACAATACAAAACCAACTCAATGTTAGTTTTCTGTTGAAGGGTCTAGGCCCGAAACGTCAGCCTTCCTGCTCCTATGATGCTGCTTGGCCTGCTGTGTTCATCCAACTCTACACCTTGTTATCTCAATGTTAGTTTATACTTGAGCCTTATATGATGTGTAACGTATAATGCAATCTTAAATACAGACTGATGATCTTTATTATCTGACTCGCAGATAATAGCCTAGAAATATAACAATGCACCGGACAGCTGTGTTTTGTTTTGAGATTACTTATGGAAGACATAAAGCTAGAAAGAACTTCAAATTAAAACTCCTAGGCTTCTGTTATGTGGCTGTAAAATGAGTGTCAATGTTTCAATATACTGGATCCTGTATCCTGGTCAGTGGCCTGAAAATACAATTGACCTAATGAATGAGCTGTCAGGGAATGCTCAGTAAATCACACTCCATTCTGAAAGTATATGAGATGTGGGATATCAAGTGGACCTTAGAGCCTTATGGTCTTTCTTGAACAAACCAATTTCTAGGTCTTCTGGATTAGAGTTATCATTGAAAGACTGCACATGTTTACCATGACAACTGATCTCTTCATTCACATCCCTTTCCTTTCTATAGAATCATAGAATCCCTACAGTGTGGAAACAGGCCCTTTGGCCCAACAAGTCCACACGGACATTCAGACCCATCCCCCTTAATCTACACATCCCTGAACTCTACCGGCAATTTAGCATGGCCGATCCACCTACCCTGCACATCTTTGGATTGTGGGAGGAAACCAAAGCACTTGGAGGAAACCCAGACAGACACAGGGAAAATGTGTAAACTCCACACAGACAGTCGCCAGAGGGTGGAATTGAACCAGGTACCCTGACCACCGAGCCACCATGCTGCCCCACTTAAGCATAGTGAGAATACAACAATATTTTCCCAACAATTGTACTGAAGAGATAACGTATTGTTACCCTGAGGGAAAGGATTGATTTGACATGGTTTCTGTCAGATCTAATACAGCTCTTTGGAAAGCCCACAGGGAACATTGTTCATATTCAACAGTCATGTTAAGTTGAAGTTCTTTCTTGCTACAGGGTTGAAATTTCCGTACCAAGTTGAATTCTTTGTGAAAAATAAAGATGTGGAGGAGGTATTAGTCTTTGAAGTTCAAAAACAATTCAAGGACAGAGTGCAGAGCATTTGGGATTCGAATCATTTGACCATAATCAACATCACTTCTGCATTAGACAGAGGAGGCCGAGTCCCTTTGCCTATTGAAGGAAGGAAAGAAGGGTGAGACAACTTATATACATTTCAAAAACTTTATGGGTGAAGTTAGCGCAATTTTGTGCATGTTTTCTCGTGGGTAAAAAGGTATCAAATAACTATTAGGAGTAAAAACCATCAGCTAATATTGTCAAAATGTGTCCATTTCAAAAGCAAATTAAAAAGGAAGCAGATTAAAAAAAAATGCATATTAATTTCTATTGCAGTGATATCAGGAGTTATGTTGAAGCTTGCCAGTTATGGGAGTGCAGAGAATTAGTCACTTCGTTTACTGAATCAGGTGCCACTTGATACCTGGGCATTCAGGTGGATGTAGCGACTCAAATTTTACTTCTTGAGGTTGGAAAGTTAACCCTGCTCCTACAGGTCCTGCTAGAAAAGCGCTGAAATATGCCCTGGGCCATTTTGTGAACAGTCACTAGTGGAACCTTCTCGTGCTGCTTTGTTAATTTGTATCTGAAGCTTTCAAACAGTGTCCCCTGTCCATTCGTCGTAAGAATTTAATGAGAGTCCTTCCTGATTCAGACATGTACTTAGGTTGCCCTTCAAAGAGGAGGACCTGGTAATGTGGTAGTCTGTGTGATCAGAGCAAGAATGGAGCATTAATTGCACTACTCCAAATTTAAAATCCATTTTCATCCAGTATTTCATGTTAAAAATTCACCCTAAAATTGGTAATATTTAAGATATATCTTGCATCCACTGCCTGTGGAAAGGCAGCCGGAAGTTCTAAAAAGTGCTATGTAGAAACATAATTCAACAGCAACATCTTATTTACTGTTCCCTGAAACTCATGAAACTAATGCTCATGAAAGTCAAGGCAATTCATATCCACTCAAAAAATATGTACTAGACTTGAGGCAAAACTTTAGTTGGTATAGTCACTGCCTATATTTTATGATATTTTAATTTGAACAAGCCATTGTACTGATTCTGCGTCTCTGTTAGTTTCTTTTTTCTAATTTATTCTGAAACCGAGCAGAAACTAACTTAGTAAGAATCAGGAAAAAGAATCACTCAATAGTGGAACGTTCTGCTCCTATATACATCTATCATGCAAACTTTCCACATTTTTTCCAGCTTATGTTCATATAGTTCTTCAGGTTTTGTCGATATTAACTATTTCATTGCATTATTTATGATTAATTAATTTTTGATAATATCTCTGTCATAAAGACTGAAATAGTAGCATCATATTGAAGGGCTGTTTTGTGTTCATTGTTAGGTTCTTCATTAAACAGATACAGTCCTCAGCAAATGTGAACTCCACATACAGACTTGATCGATCAGAGAATGACAAATTGCATCAAACAAAACTACTAATTAAAGTAGTCATGTCTTTATATAGATATTAATACAAGAAACAACTCATTGCAAGCATATCACTTTATTCTCCTTTATCATTAAGAGGTCCAAGCACTTTAGTATTGCATTGGCACCAGCCTTAATTTGTTGGAATTATAAAGCATTTGTAAATGGCAAATAGAATCTGCCAGAGAATAAAATTTGCTATGGCAACCAAAGCCCAAATGAAGTTACTGCGGAGAGGAAAAAAAAATCCTGTCCATTGTTATGTCTGGTTCTTCAAACATCATGCAAATCCATTTAGAATTGCAGTTATGCATTGCACTAAGTAAGACCAACACATGCTCAACTGAAGGCCATTTTTGAACAATTTTATGAAGACTTCCAAAACAGAGAGGACAGCAGAGCAGGTTCCACACTGTATTGCACTTCTGATGTGATTTCACCTCTGGAAGAGCATGTTACCTGATGCAGCGATGCTAGTGTTCACCCTTGTAGTGTAAGGAGCTAAGCATAGACAGCCTGGATTTGAAGAATCCAACAGATACTTATTACAGTTATTTATGACATACAGACATTCTGAGACACCGAAGTCCCTGGATTAACATTAAGCTAATAGGTTAGAACAGAAAACCATATGCTTTAGGCGGTGTACCAAGCTTCTAGTGATCTGAAATAAGATGGAGTTGAGGATCATTATAATCTTGGGTCAAGTGCTATGATGCAGTGATGACATTATGGAGTATGTCTTTTAAAGGTATATTAACACACTGTATCTCTTAAAGGTATATAGACAAACAGACAGTAGGGTATATCATAACCAGCGAGCCCTGTACGCTGTGGGGCTGCACAGCCACACCAATGTTCCTCCATTGGTCCATACACAGCACTTGACATGACAATACATTAACTTCTAGTTTTAATTTTGCTAATGTAAACAGACTGTGAAGGTCCATGTACCAAAAAAGAAAACTTAGATGGAGCAATGATCATACAGCACCCCACTTTTTGGAACGATAAAAATCTTATCCCAAATAGATTTACATGGTGGTACATAGGCACCGGTTGATATAATTATACAAATAGGTAAAACAAAGCTCACAACTCATTAAACCTCACTGACAATCTCCTCTTTGGAAATGTCACACTTGTGCCCTTTGCTGTGGTAACTTTCTGACAAACTGGTCAACAGGTCTCAGCACTGCTCTCTGGATGACATGAGTTGGAGTATGTAATTCCTGAGGTTAATTCTTAGTTTGAGTTTGTCTTCAAGAGCTTTCCAGATCTTTTATGTATCTTTTTAATTGTGTGTGGAAAGACCAGATGTGTTAATTTTGTGAGGCTCCACATTGGGAATGGCAAAAAAAAATTTATATTTCTTTTTTCGGGATCATCTATCACTTGATCTCTGAAATATTTGTTGTTGTAAATGTGCATATGCTAGTTGAACAGTTGTTACTCTGTAAATGTTTCATTAGAAGCCCATTCCATCATATGCTATCTATGATTTTGCCTTAAAAGCCTTGGACAGTAAAGATATTTTCTGTATTCACCCATTTGTGGGATGTGGGTGTCGCTGGCTGGCCAGCATTTATGCCCATTCCTAGTTGCTCTTGGGAAGGTGGAGGTGAGCTAACTTCTTGAATCACTGCAGTCCATGTGCTGTAAGTAGAGCCACAATAACTTTAGGGAGGGAATTTCGGGATTTTTCCCAGCGACAGTGAAAGAACAGTGATATATTTCTAAGTCAGGATGGTGAGTGGCTTGGAGGGGAACTTACAGGTGATGGTGTTCCCATGTTCCTGCTACTCTTATCCTTCTAGATATAAGTGCTTGTGAGTTTGGAAGGTGCTGTTTAATGATCTTTGGTGAATTTCTGCAGTGAATCTTGTAGATAGTGCACACTGCTGCTGCTGAGCGTCAGTGGTGAAGAGACTGGATGTTTGTAGATGATCTGCCAATCAAATGGGCTGCTTTACCCTGGATGGTGTCAAATGTGTTCAGTTTTGTTGGAGCTGCACTGATCCAGGAGAGTTGGGAGTATTCCAACACACTCCTGACTTGTGCCTTGTAGGTGGTGGAGAGTCAGGAGATGAACTATTTGCTGTAGTATTCCTAGGCTCTGACCTGTTCTTGTAGACACTGTGTTTATGTGGCAGTTATGTGTTAGTAAGCCCCCGGAAACTTGGTAGTGGGGGCTTCAATGATGATAACACCATTGAATGTAATAGACGGTGGTTAAATTGTCTCTTATTGGAGTTTGTCAATGCTTGGCATTTGTGTGGCACGAATGTTAATTACCACTTTTGAGCCCAAACCTGGACATCATCCAGAAGTTGTTGCATTTGAACATAGACTGCTTCGTATATGAGGAGTCGCAAATGATACTGAACATTGTACAATCACCAGTGAACATCCCACTTCTGACTGTATGACGGAGGGAAGGTCATTGATGAAGCATCTGAAGGAAATCTTGTAGAGACATCCTGGAACTGAGATGACTGACGTCCAACAACCACAACCAACACCCATATCTGCCAGGTATGACTCCAACCAGCAGAGGGTTTTTTTGCCTTGATTCCTATTGATTCCAGTTATACCCAGGCTCCTTGATGCCAAACTTGGTCAAACATGGCCTTGATGTCAAGGGCTGTCACTCTCATGTAAACTTTTTGGTCCATGTTTGAACCAAGGCTGTAATGAGGACAGGAGCTGAGTGGCCCTGACAGAATCCAAACTGGGCGTCAGTGCAGGTGCTGCTTGAAAGCACTGTTGATGGTGTCCTTCAGAGAAGGGTCACCAGACCCAAAATGTTAACTCTGATTTTTTCTTCACAGATGCTGCCAGACTTGCTGAGCTTTTCCAGCAACTTTTTTTTTTATTACAGTTAACTTAGATTTGCAAGACACAGCACTATGATTAATAACTGCATTAAAAAGCTATCTATATTACAAAACAATCGTGAAAATGGTAAAATATTTAGCGCCTACCTGTTACAACGTTCCTGACTTCTCAGTGGATTTCCCCCAGTGTCATGATCTTTCAAACCTAGCATGTATATTTTAGTGCTTCCAAAATTCACACCAGCACACAAAATTAGCAGGGTGAAGGAAATTCAAATTTCCTGTGGTCCTCAGAATGGTGACACAGGCCTCAGAAGAACTGTGTGCATGAGTCATATTCAAGGACACGTCTCTGCCTGAAGGAAAGGCAACAAAAAATAGAATGGAGTTGAGAAGGCACTGCAGATTGGAAATTGCAGCCAGAGATTCTAATTTGTTTTCATTTTCCTCACCTCAGTCCTGCCTCCATCAGGAGTCAAAATTTTGGTTTTTCATTCCAAACAACTTTCTTTTTTAAGACAATATCATAGAATCTCCACAGTGTGGAAGCAGACCACTCAGCCTATTGAGTCTGAAGAGCATCCCACCCAGACCCACCAGTCCTCACCCTATCCCTGTAACCCTGCATTTCCCATGCCCAATCCACCTAACCTACACATCTTTGGAACGTGGGAGTGTTTGGAAACACACACAGGCACGGGGAGAACATGCAAACTCCACACAGACAGTCGCTGGAAATGAACCTGGGTCCCTGGCACTGTGAGGCAGCAGTGCTAACCACTGAGTCACTGTGCTGCCCTCATATGTTATAAATATCTTTTGCAAAGTTGGATTGGAAGGCAGGACGTTACAATTTGG